GGCAGGGCGCGTCGTGGAAGCGGCGGCGGCAGCGAGGACGACCGCACCGGCCCCAGCGAGACGGAGGGGGGAAAAAAGCCCTCCCGTTCCCTGAGCCACACGTCTAATAGCTCCGGTCTGCAGCACACTTCAAAGGCACCGGCCCTGCCCACCAATCGGGGACGTGCCAAGGACCTGGGGGCGGGGCCATCGGCCGGTGGGGGGAGCTTAGCCTAGTGGGAAGATGAGAAAGTCACTTTTAAATCCCTCCTCCTTCTCCTCCTCCTCCTCGTCCTCGTCCTCGGGTAGCGTCTTGGCATCTGGAAGGCAAGCGGAGCAACGCCTTCCTGGTTGCTCGCTCTGGTCTGTCGCCTGCTTGCGCAAAGGGGTCGGCCCGGCTCCCGATCCCCGGGGAGGGGCAGAGGCCGTGGGCAACAGGGGGGTGGGAGATCGTGGAAACCCTTGCTCCGTTCCGATCCCCAAAGATACATTCAAACACGTATACTATACACACACACACACACAAAACACACGCCTACGTATACACACAGACGCACCCAAACACTCACTATTGGCAAGCAGTTAGGAAACAGCATCAAAGGGAGAAGGGAGTGGAGAAAAGGACGTTCGCTGCACGCTGCTGCTTTTTCTGCTCCATTTCTAGGTGAAAGGTGCTGCGCTCCAACGTGTTTTTAGCCTAGGAGGCTAAGTCCTGCAGGAAGCCAAGTTCAGCCATCTCAGACCAAGCCTTAGATGTGGGCTCACTAGGTGACTTTTAGGGTCAGCTGTTGATTTATTACAGGTTTGTTCCTGTTCATACAGCGTCCCCTCCTCTCCTTTTCTCTCCTTTCCCCATATAATCCGATTTCTTCCCCTTTCTGCCCCCCCTTCCTTTTATTCTCTTTCACCTTCCTTCCTTCCTTCCTTCCTTCCTTCCTTCCTTCCTTCCTTCCTTCCTTCCTTCCTTCCGATTCCATCTTTTCCCTTTTCTCAAATAGAGGCCAGAAAAGAAGAGAAATTAAAATGGGGCTGGTACTGTGGACAATATCAGATTTCAAAGACCAGTGCTGCTGATCAGTCGTTCTTCCAGTACTGGAACCTGTCACTTTCTTCCACCTCAAATTTCATTTTATTTAACTTAATTTTGTTAGGTTGAGAAAGTCGCCCAACTCCCTAAAACTTGGCTAGGTTCCCTTTCTCACAGATTTCCTCATATCTCCCATTACCAAGAAGGGATCTTGCCTTAATTGCCTATTTCACCCATCCTCATCCTGTAGGGTCTTTTTCAGGATCCTTTCTCCATTATGGGATGCCAATTGCTCATGTTCCCATTCTGTTAGAATGCTGGACCACTCCTCAGCAGAGCTTACCTGATGCTACTGTTTTTTATTTATATTGCCTACAGTCTTAGCAGGCTTCATATGAACATACAGTGTCACACCTTTGATTCACTGGATGCTTACTGTCATCACAAAATGCTTTTTCCCACCACTGCTCCCCAAGAAGGCAGACCAAAGGACCTCTTCAGTGGTAATCAGTGTGCACCTTTCCATAAGTTGCACTGTTTCCTCATCACCAGAACTGTAGTTGATGTCTGGAGGTCCACAAGTTGACTCATCTTGCCCTCAAAGAGGTTGACTTTAGTGCCAGGGTTGGAGATGAGTTTTGAGAGTTAGTTCTTGCACTGGTAGGAATTGACAATGGTCCAATGTAGCAATGACAGTGGTCCAAACAGCAAGCAGACCAGACTGCTACCTCCTTCACAAAAGAGGGAAGCTCTACTACCTTACATTGAAAAAAAAAATGCAAGAAATGGAGCAAAGTTATGCTGCCCTAAATTCCCTATATACAGTTGTCTCCTTTGAAACTTCGGTACTTGCTGTAATCCTTGTTTATATAACCTTAATCTTCTTTCTAATAAATACTATTAATCCTAGATTCTTCCTTGGATTCTTCCTTGTTTCCGATCTAGATTGCAAGGAAGAAAGTGTAACAACAGAATTATCAGCTCCATCACCACCACCTTCCCTCCAATAATAAAATATGATCTATTGAATCTAATCAAAAGGTAACATGTAAAGTCTCCTTTGAGTCAGGCTTAGTTCCTGGGGACTGTAGGGACAGGTCCATGTAGTTTTCATGGCAATGATACAGAACTGGTTTGATATTTGTGGCTCTGGGATTATTTTTCCTTTCAGTTTCTTAGTCCACCCCATAGCTTGGGGTGGTCTTTCATCAAGTACCAACGAAGTCTGATCCTGCTTAGCTTTTTGGGAGCAGCCAAGGTTGAAGGCTGCCTCAAATTATAGCATTCATGTCAGTGGTCTCTACTAGAAACTATTTAAAGAATTACAACAAATCTTATGCTGTTCCTCAAATAAAGTCATGGGGAAAAAAGTAAGAATTCAACTTACTTTTCAGAGCTTTGCTTTGCACATTCTCTCTCTGTTTTTATAATTGTTTTCCTCTTGTTAGATGGGTGAGGCTGAAGGCAAAAATGGAAGTGGCACCACTTTTTCTTACAGATGAATCTTGGCGTTCCTCCTATCTCCCCCCCCCACCCCCGCCCA